AAAAAGGAACAGTTCAGTCTAATTAATGTCCGATGGCCCATTGACTTGAAAAAATATTCTATACATATGAAATTGACAGTGGGCGGGGCTACCCGACTCTCCCCTATATATATGCACTTTTCTTTAATTTAAACTTTACTCATAATTAAAAAAAAGCATTATAATTTTTATTGTATCATTTCTAATATTTGGCGGCACATTTTAAGAATTTAGCGGCACACAAAAGTGCCGCTGCACAGTGGTTGAGAATCACTGGACTAACAGCTAAAACTATAATACTATCCGGTTTCAACCCAAAGTGACACATTTATGTAGTGTCTCCAGGTTGTATTATGTCTATGTGTGTCATACGTAAGTCTGTTGGTTATCTCATAGAAAAGTGATTGCAAGATTTTGCGAATTAAAAGATGAAGTAAGAATTCTCATATCTGAACATGCACCTCCATTATCTCAAACATTATTGGATGTTGAAAATTGTGTCTGAGTGAGCTCGACACATCGCTGCGAGAAACAAGCATAATTATTTCCAAGGTACCGAGAAAAAATGACGACACTCTCTTAAAATTGAAATTTCGGGATGATGCATTAAATGTTGAAAATATTGAATGTTTTCCTAATTTGCATTATACTTTTGTATTAAGTAACGCAATTCTCGATCTCTCTAATTCTTTTAAAATTGATACCTCCTAAGATCTTTCTTTTCTGATGCTGCGACAAAAAATGCAGGAAAAGATGGGATGCTAAAGATGACATTAAACTGTCAAAAATAAATATACGCAAATTTATTGAAACTTTCCCCCCTTTTTTTCTTTTTTTTTTCTTGACCAAACCGTTTTCTGGTATATGCTCCGAACGAACTTTTTGTCAAAGTGACGAAATAACCTTTGTTACGTCTGTAAAGAAACGAATTACGTCAATGGTAATGAAATATTTCTTCTTTTATTATCTCAGAAAATAATAATAACGGGTGTGCCTAATATATTTGATCTTCTAATAATTACTTTATCGAGAGCTCCATATAGCTGGGTCACCTTTAAAACACAGGAAAGGCAAATATAACAGAGAGATATGTTATACCCATGCCTAAAGTGAGATTTAAACCCCGGATCTTCCTGGTACGAGCTCAACTCCATGTCCACCATACGTCCCGGTCGGTTTATTTCGCAACTTTATTTTCAATCGTTCAAATTTCATCCTAGATTTGTCATTCTAATCTCCCACAATGCACTACGATGAGGCTTCGGGTAGAGTAAACATTTTCGTCATACATTAGAGAGTTCCAGTTTATTTACAAATCTCGTGATTTCGTTAAGAAATAATTCTGAAATTTGACGAAATATATCTCAAGCATTGCTGAATCGGTCAAAAATTAGAGTTTCCTTTCTGAAAAGTTTAGGTAGAAGATATTTACTAATATTCCAGGCTTAAAAAAATACTTAACAAGAAAAGTCATGAAGAAAAAAAGTTCACTTTTTAGAATTGTTATAAATAGAATTGTTTAAATAGTGTTGTTTTTGTATAATATTCATAGTATATATTTCGGGAAAAAAATCAT